GTAGTAAACGCCCCGCCCCACCTCCTGGAAAAGCAACACATTTTCTTGCCCAGTGCCTCCCATTTCCACAGCTCAATGTCTCCATCTAGTGGTCGGAGTCAAACTGCCGCTTGCAAACTGGGACTCAAGACCCAAAATTAATTTGTAATCCCCACCTCTAGTGCGTACAACTCTAGTGCAAACAGCCAAAGTCAACATTTGGGCAGGATTAGGAGGTGTGGCCTTGTTGGGAGTGTGGCCTTGCTGGAGGTGTGTCGCTGGGAATGAGTTTTGAGCTTTCAAAATCCCATGAGAGGCCAAGCCCTCTTTCTCTCTGCTGCCTACAGATCGGGATTAAAATTCTCAGTTACCACCCTGTTGGCTTTCCACCGTGATGAATCCTCTGAAACTGTAAGCAAGCCCACAATTCAGTGCTTTCTTCTCTAAGAGCTGCTTTGTTCATGGTGTCTTTCACAGCAATAGAACAGTCACTAAGACAGTCCCCATCCTGCTGTTTGCTCTAGATATGACCTCTGTATTACTCAAGGTCAAATAAAGATTTTTTTTCCCTCTGCTTTGCTCACTGTTGAGCCCAAGGTGCTCAGCATGCAGTAGGTTCTCAACATGTACTTGTTGAAGAGATGAATGAAAAAATGAATCACTAAACAACAAAAAAATCATACACAAGATTAATGAAAAAAGGGGGGGACATGATTGCAGTCCCAGAATTCATTTTAAACTTCTTCTCTATTGCAATATAATTTCTATACCGTTGATCCACCCTTGGTACCATTCTGTGAATAGTTAGGAAGGCATAGACACACACCACTACAGCCAAGACAAAAACCAGCATCCCCTCCTAACATGAATTGGTGCTGCCCATATGTGTGTGTGGGTAGGGTGTTCCTGGAAAGCACTCCTGCTTTCTGCTCCTATTGCCTTGCCTTGTCCTGAAAGTCACAAATCCACTACAGGTCTGGTTTCTTTCAGTCAGGTAATGTGCTTGGAATTATTCTAATTGTTATATACAGGCGTCCATTCTTTTTATTGCTGGGCAATATTCCACTGTGTGGACATAACATTTTGTCATCTATTCACTACCTTCAGAGGCCATTTCACTTGTGATTTTGGGGGGAGTGGGGTAGAGATTGATACAAGATTTTATATCCGTAGTCTATGTTCTTAAAGGTTATAGTTTCAACCTGGAAAAAAAAAATGGCTAAACGTGTGCTTCCTGGCTTATGCGGGAAGCCTGCTTTAACTGTATATAAATGTGCCTTATTGGTTTGCACAAAGACTGTCATTTTACACCACACATGAGACCTTCAGTTCTTCACATCCATTATCCACACCTGGCATCATCAGCTTCTGCTTTTGCTTTTGATATTAGATATTCCAATAAGTACGAGAAGGTACTGTGCTCTGATTTTGATTTCCATTTCCCTAATGTCTAGCACGTTCCCCGCCTCTTCAAACATTCATTCACCATCCACACAGCGTCTTAGGGGATGAGTCTGATCAAATGGTCTGTCTATTTCGTTACTGGGTGGTATGTGTGCATGTAAAAATTTAATACTTTATTGTTTGAGATTATAATGTAATTATATTATTTCTCTCTTCTATTTCTTCTCTCCAAGCCCTTCCATGCTGTGGGATGGTCTGTATGTCAAATGTATTGCTCTGATTGGTCAATAAATAAAGCACTGATTGGCCAGTAGCCAGGCAGGAAGTATAGGTGGAACTAACAGGAGAATTGAGAGAACAGGAAGGCAGAAGGAGACACTGCCAGCTGCCACCATGATAAGCAGCATGTGAAGATGCCAGTAAGCCATGAGCCATGTGGCAAGGTATAGATTTATGGAAATGGGTTAATTTAAGATGTAAGAACTAGATAGCTAGAAGCCTGAGCCATTAGGCCAAACAGTTTAAATAATATAAGCATCTGTGTGTTTATTTTATAAGTGGACTGTTGGACTGCCAGGGCTTGGCTGGACCTGGAGAGAAAACTCTCCAGTTACACTTCCATATTCTCTTCATCATTCTCTTTCAAATTTATTATCTGTTTTTCTACTAATTATTGTTTTTAACAACAATTATTTATATGTATATATATGTAACATATAAATATATATTCCAAAATGCACAAACACAACCTGCTCAGTCTATATAATGTCATTGTATGCATGTTTCCAGGGCTGACCATTCGTATTGGATAACAAATCGGTGTACTGTTCTCTAAGGAAGACTGTTTCTCCCACTCTTAGCTCATAATTGTGTGTGGTTCTTTGTATAGGGTTAAGGCCTCAGAGAGCTTTCCCTCTCTACCTTAGCATGTCTGTTGTTGTGCTTGTTCAGCTCCTGCTTATACAGCCATGTTGGTGAGACTTTATGGGTGTAGCTTCTGACAAACCTAGGAGACACAATCTAACAGCAAACGCCCTGATTCTCCAGCTTTTGCAATCTTCCTGCCCCTTTCTTGGCAATGATACCTGAACCTTAGGTGTAGGAGTTTTGTTGTGCATGTATCCCTTGGAACTGGGCTCTACAATGCTGCATGTTTGCTTGGTTGTGGTTTTCTGTTGCAAAGAGAAGTTTCCTTAATGAGGATTGAGAACAACACTCATCTGAGGGTATAAGGAAAAAATATTTAGAATGTAGCTAGGGATTATGCTGGTGTAGTAAAGTGGCAGTTATAGGCTCCTTCCAAGATCCATGACTTCATGACCTCTGGGGAGTTACCTAGGTTTCCAATACCAGGCATGGTTTCCCTCTTGTTGGGTGAATCTGAGGTCCAGAGAGCTGTTGGTGACCACCAAGGTGTGTGTGCCACTACAGCACTCTTTGAATTATTATGCTGTGCTAGTCATCATTGTGGTTCATAGGCATTATTATCTGGGTAGGACTGTTGGTTGTCTCCCTCCTTTGGAAGCTTTCATGATGCCTTCTGTACCATAAAACTTATTCCTCAGTGAGGAGGCATTCAGGTCTGTTCCAGACCAGGGGCGTCTGAGCCCTCTGAAGTGCAAGGTGTCTTCAGCAATAAGTACATACCTTCCACCTTTAGGGGGCAACCAAGGACAATAGCAATAGGCTGTATGTTTGGGAATCTCTTTGACAGCCCTAACCAACAACTCAAATGAGGGCTTTCTCAGGTGTGGTGTTGCAGTTTTTGCTAGATGATTTTTGGCTCCTGGAAGGAGCATTGAGTGGGAAAAATTTATTTAAACTCATACATATACTATATATAAATATACAGACTTGCATACATTATAGGTATTTTTAGGTAGACAGCTAATAGTATGATTCCTTGTGACTTTTTCAGACATCCTTGCTGTTATTTTTACCCTCCTCCCTCCTTCTTCTGGACTTGCCCTCTGCCCCAATGCATGCTAATTAGAATGCTCCCATTTTTCCCATTTCCCACATCAAACCACTTGTACCCTACTATTCCTCTATCGCTCCTCCACCCAGCAATGTGCCCTTTCAACTTTCCCGATTTCTGCAGCTACTCTAGTATGTGTCCTTTTGAGTAAATTTTGAGAGTCTATACATGTCCAACTAGACTGTGGCTTGATTCTGGGTCTTTTGTTGATATTATTGTTTTGTTTTATAGGTTTTTGGTTTGGTTGTTTGCTTCCTTTTAAACAAAGCCTCCCCCCGCCCTGCCCGCCCATTTGTCTTTCCTGAAACAGAGATTCAATGAATGTAGGTATCTGCCATGGAAAACTCCCATAGCCCCTCTGCAACAGCAAGCCTGAGGTTCTCTGGAGGCTAAAGTCTCCCTGACCAGCAGTTTCTGGTTTGGTTAATACCCTGGTGCATCAGGGCTTTTGACCTTCCAGGATATTCTTTTTTTTAATATATATATTTTATAATACCATTCAGTTCTACATATCAACCATGGGTTCCCCTATTCTCCCCCCTCCCACCCCCTCCCCTTACCCCCAGCCCACCTCCATTCCCACCTCCTCCAGGACAAGTCCTCCCC